CTACCTAACGCCAAAAAGATTCTGAGCGGCATTCAATAAGTCTAATACATAGATTAAAAATTAAAACCACCTAATTGCCCAGACCAAAACAATACTCCCCAATATACAAAACTTCAGCAGCCCCCAGGCCTAGAACCCAAGCCCTGTCTTAGGAACTTCTAGAAACCAAGGAAAGTGGGAGTCCTGAGTATCTCTGGGTTAGGGCTCATTACAATCTTAAAGGATGGGACTACATCAAGCACGCCAAATAATGTAATAATGGATTGTGGAGGTGCTCATTGTTAAACTACAGATCAGAATGCAGGTTTTCTATGTCAAGTATCTTCAGTGCAATCTTTAATATCTCCCAGCAATGCTGTGAAAGGTTTCTGAAGTTCTGAAAGCAGTCCATATAACCCCAATGGAACCTGGTCTGCTCTGAAATAAGGCAGGCATGTTACATTGTTGCACAAAACGTGTTCAGGAAGATAGCTAGAAAGTAGTCAGAGGAATCTTACTTTTTTGGTTCCTACAGAACTCCGAGAAGATTTGGAAAGCAAATAACAAACTTTTATGTAGTACTTTAATGTCAATGTCAACGACTTCCTGCAGCCTTTTCAAATCCTACGTCCTCCCAATGAGTTGGAATTTAACACCCAAAATTCATAGCCATGCATATTAATTTAATAATGAATAAGAAGCTATTCCTTGCCCTGGAAACAGGCATAGTAACAATAGCTGCAGTAAACCTAGTGAGTGTGTGAGTGGCAGCTGCAAGGTTGGGAAACTGTAACTGAGATTCTGATATCATCATTTAGGGCTGCCTGAGATGAAGAACAAAGGGCATAGAAGAATATAAAATTGCTTGCTTCTAGAAAAATGGGCTTGGTTTCTAATAGTCACAAGATTGAGAAACAATCATGCAAACATACCTGTCACCAGAAAAATGAGGCAAACAGCGAAGATATCTGGATATTCAGCCAGACCTGGGATGCTCAGGGTCAGATGTATGTTGAAAACATTCCCCAGGTTTTTGCCCAAAATCTCATCAAAAGTAGCACTCCATGCTCTGGCTATACTGGAAGCTCCTATAGAGAACAAACCAGGTGTACCAAACATTGTCATATATCAGGCAGAGCATATCAAAATTTTAAGAACAACATATTTTGCACAGTTCTATCACCTCTTTTTTGAGCACACATTTACATTGCACAGGAAGATGTTGATAATTGCTGGGTTCTATGTGGGGGGCGGGGGGAGGAGGAAGAGGAGAAGAAAAGAGGAAGAGGTAGAAGGAATTGTAAGTCCAGAGGCCGCCTAAGACAAAAGTTTAGTATATGACTTGAGATGGGTGACTCTAGAAACTGAATAAATAAACAAAGTCACTCTATCACTTTTAATATCCCACTCATATACAATCTAAGAGTCCAATTCTTCTATTTCACACAGGCCTCCAATTGCACACAGACACACACAATCAGAAGGAAGCTTACTACAAAGCTGCCACTTCAGTGCATTTAAAACACCTTGAAATATACAGTGAATTGACTTTGTGCCTCCTAGCATTCACAGGCCAATAAAGAAACCTCATGGGTTGAATTACGCTAGAGCAATAGTTATGCTGTATGGCTTTAGATTCTTTAGATTCTTTAGATTCTACAGCATTTTCAACAATGGCCTGCCCCAGGGCAGCCCAAAGAGATGGGGGTTCGGAGCTAAATGGGCTATAATACTGAACTTCATTCTCTCTAAAAATTCAGATCTACTTAAGCATTGTCTGGCTATCTTTTCTTAGGCCCAAAGCCCTGATATAATTGAAATCTAACACAGTACTAGAATGGAGAGGCCCAAGCCATGATAATACCAATTACATAGGACAATAGCAGGTTCCACCCAGTGACGAATGCACATAGCTCTCCAACTGTGACGTAGCTGTACAAATAGGCTGATCCTGCCAGAGGCACCCGGGCTCCAAATTCAGCATAACAAAATCCTGCCAAAATGGATACCATAGCAGCAATAAAAAAGGAAACGATAATACTAGGTCCTGAGGTATTCTTGGCTACTTCCCCTGCTAAGACATATACCCCTGCACCTAGAGTACTGCCCACCCCAAAGGCTACTAAATCCAAGACAGTGAGGCAGCGGTTCAGGTGTGATTCTCCGTAGCCATTGGCAGTTATTACTTTCTGACGAGAAACCATCTGAAAGAGGGAGATGATGGAACTCCAGACTGGCATCTGAAACAGAAAGAGAAGATCCAGATTTTCTTCTATATGTGATATCCTTTCAGATATTTGAAGAGTGCTATCATATCCATCCTGCATCATCTCTTCTGATGACACATAATGGCAACGTATGGTCCAGATTTGATGATAAATCTCAACTATTGAGTTCATTCATATAGTTATTTGTATTTATCTTATGAATCTTTTTGGTTTTTATTTTTTGTCTTTTTCTTTAGTATTCAGTGTATAATTTTTTACTTTTGTATGTCACTTATTAATTTTTTTAAAAAAAGCACACTTTTTTTGCAGGTTCATGGCTACAAGGAAAAGAATCAGAATGGAAAATATTTTTACATGTAAGTTGTTACCGTACGGTTAGATGCATGGACAAGCAAATGGAAACAAAACCAAAGATGTTGAAATAATTATATACTATTACATAAAAGCTTGTTCTGGTGTACTGTGCAAAGAACATTTCCTTAATCATTTTAATGCATCTGCCATATTTTAATTTAGGTGAATCAATCTTAGAAAAAGCTAATTTGGAGGGCTGTGTAGAAAATAATCTCCTGATATATTCAATTAATCTGAGGGTTTATAGGTGGTCCATATAGGACTTTGGAGCCAGTTCCAGATTGGTGTAAATCACATGATATCCCACAATGGTCTTATTGTAGAGCAGCTACAGCATAGTCCATGCAGAATTGCAAAGTTTATTTTGGAAATGGGCATGCTGGAACTCTGCAAAGCTTGGGGGTGTGGGGCATTTCTCATTCTTAGAAATGCCTGTTTGCTGTTTTTTTTCCTCTTTTCTCTTCTAACTCTGCAATGTCCTTATGCTGAAGATTGTGAATCGAGAGAGAGAGAGAAAGCTATACATAGTTTGTCCATCTAAGGAAAATATGCACAGTGGCTGAGGGAAGGAGGGCACTAGTTGAATTGTATAGTCTGTGCTCTTCTAATGGGCAGCTGCTGAATCATCTGGTCGTCTTGGAGGCTGTGCAAAGGACAGCTGCAGGCCATTGAGAAACTGGTGAAAAAGATCTGGGGAAAGTTCAGGAAGTGACATGGGCAGTTGTGTATAAAAATACTCTCAGATATTCTCAGACAAAACTGACTGAGTAGAAAGGTTGACTCTGTTGCTGTTCTCTCTTCAATCAGCAGGTTGCAGAGTTCTGTAACATAGTAACCAAAGGCTGATTTATTTGAAGATGGGTTTTAAAAATAGACTTTAAAAAAAACACTATTCATACAATAAGCCATCATGGTGGCTATTCATGAATATGAAGAGAAAATACTGAAGACTGATGCTTTAATCAGAATGATCAAAGCTGGAATACATAAGCAAATTAATCTGACTACCTGTACTTGATCTGAAGTCAGGTAATATTTTTCAATTGTTCTTGATCAAGCACAGAAAATTGTTTTGGCTACGCCTTTTTCTTTATCTTGCTTTCTAGCAATTAATTTGCCTTTATACTTGTATCTTATTTTCTTTCATACTTCTCCAGACTTTCAAGATGCCCACTTTAGATCCTAAATATGGATTTTTATTTATAAACATGCCAAATGATAAAGTAGTGTTTTTAGAAGTGAAGATTGTTATTTCAAATTCATCTAGCCACTTAGTCTGTTTATAAATTCCCAAGTCAACATTCTAATAATCACTCTACAGTTGGTTCTCGATTTACAGTCCCAATTGGGACCAGAATCTTGGTCATTGAACAAAGCGGTCCTTAAGTCGGTGCTTTGTTCAATGATCACAATCCCAGCTCTCCCAATTGTGATTGCTAAATGACCATATGGCTCACGCAATGACCACAAAAGATTGGCCCAGGGGGTGAGGGAGGCTCTGGGAGGCCTGCCATGGTAGAGGTAAAGGTATCTGTAATTGTACCTGTACTGTTTAAAGCAGGGGTGTCCAACCTTGGCAACTTTAAGACTTGTGGACTTCAACTCCCAAAATTCCTCAGCCAGCAAAGCTTTGGTCTAGTGGTTAAGGCAACAGGCTAGAAAGAGAGATGTGTTCTAGTCCCGCTTTAGCCATGAAAGTCAGGTGAGTGACCTAGGGCTAGTCATTCTCTCTCAGCTCAACCCACCTCACAGGGTTGTTGTTGTGGGGGAAATAGGAGAAGGAAGATATGTTGAATGTTTCCTATCTTGAGTTATTTGTAAAAATAATAAAGACAAATAAAATACAGGCCCGTTGGCATGAGGAAACTGCCAAAGCTAGGAGGACTGGGCCCTCTCCACACCCAACCACACCAGGGAAGCCCGAACCCTTCCCCCAACCCTACTTATGTCTACTTACATTTGCCTTTTCCTACCACTGCTGATAAAGCCTTTCTAGCGTACACAAAAAAAGTGAAAGCCTAGCTTTCACTAGGCCTGAAAAGAGCCTTTCTACCTATTATCTTTCTAGAACAAAAGAGAAAAGAGACTTTCTAGCATTCGGAATGAAATAGAAAAATTGCCTTTCTAGCCTTCAGAACTTTTCTGGTCCTTTTGGCCTAGAAGCTAGAGAAAGCAATCATTCTGAAGGCTAGATAAGTAAACTTGTGCAAGGCAGGGTGGGAAGAAGGCCTGGGCAGTGGAGGAAGCTAGTCAGGGAGCAGACCAAGGCCTAAAGAGCTATGGCACTTTGTGCATACCAATGGGCCAAGTCGGCTGCTGAGATAGAGGAGAGAGACAGGCAGTTGGGGGTGAATCCTTGTGCTCCTACAGCTCTAGAGGTGGGCACCTTGTCAAATGCTCAAATTTGGATCATGTGACTATAGGGGTGCTGCAACATCTGTAACTTCAAGCAGGGACATTTAATGAATACTTGTAAATTGGGGATTACCTATATTCCAAAATAATTTTTAAAATTCTTAAATTTGCATAAAATGTTTTTCCCTAAAGATTGTGGGAGTCTCATCCAGGGTATGAAACTTGCCATTCTGATGATTTCTAATATCAAAAAAACCCAAAACCAGTTAACAGGTCATTTCCAAAAGTAATTAAGAAACAAAGTATGCAAACCTTTTGAGAGTGCCAAACCATGGCTTGGCCCAAGATGGTGACTGGTGACCCCTTGATCCCCAGAACAATAAATCTGCTGCGGACTGCTGCTTTGTATTTCCTGGCAGAGAGCTTTCCTTTTCTAGAGAACAGGGAGTATAATCATCCGAAATACAGTAGAGCAAGCTAATTATGTCAAGGAATTCATTAATCCTTATTCCCAAATACTCATGGATAATAGCTCTGAAATGTTATTACAAAAGTGTATTGAGTCCCAAAAAAAACAATGTAAAGTAAAACAAATGTTGATTTAAAAAAAACTTATATCATGTAAAAGATTTTCAGAAAAGGGAGCAGAATTATAATAGAGATATGCTTTAGAAGAGCAACTCCCAATCTGGCGGTTATAATTACTGGGAATAATAGCAAAAAAGTAGTTTAACATAAATGGAAGACACTAGGTTGGGAAGAGTACTTTGAAGAAGGAAAGCTGCTTTGGAATAAACTGAAGATTCTGGCTTTGGAATAATTAGCAGTTAATGTTTATGATGAGAAGTAATGTTAAGTTAGTCTTTAACATAATGTGAGTTAGACAGATGCCCAATTTTCATACCAGAGTGCAGTTTTAGAAATAAATTACTCATAGTAGGTTAATCAGATTAACTTTCCTTTAAAAAAAAAAAAACTTTATTGAATATACAATTAAAACAAACAAATACATACACAACATAGAAAAATAGAGAGAAAAAAACGAATAAAAGGCAATTCCATTATCGACAGTTTGTGGTTCCTTATTTGTTATCATTATTGGTGTCATATTTACAATAAAATCTTAAAGCGAGTATATAGTTACTACCTTCTTTACGGTTTAATAATGTTTACTATTATATTATCTATCTTTGTTCTATCCAATCATACCAACATTCCCAGCTCTTGTAATATTCTGATGATTCTTTATCCTTAAGTGCTAGGGTCAATTTATCCATTTCTGCACAGCTTACTATTTTCTGAATAGTTATTTCCTCTGCTAGAATATCAGCTTGTTTCCAACATTGTGCAAAAGCTAATCTAGCTGCAGTAAGTATGTGTAATATTATATATTTATCTTTTTTGGGGAGTTGTCTATTGAATATCCCTAATAGGAAGAATTCTGGTTTTAATTCAATCTGCTCAGCCATTATTTCCTCCAACCATTTTTTGATTCTCTGTCAGTATCTTTGGGCTTCTGTGCAGGACCACCACATATGGTAGAATGTTCCGTGTTTCTTTTCACATTTCCAGCAATTCGGATTCATGTTAGGAGACATCTTCACTAATCTCGAAGGAGAGAGATGCCATCTGTAAAACATTTTATAGGCATTTTCTTTATATGTTGCTGATTTTGTGATTTTATTATTCCTGATCCAGACCTTTTCCTATTCTATTAAGGTAATGCTACATCCTATATTTCTGCTCCAAGCTATCATATTGCCTTTGACTACTTCCTAGATAAAATCTTACTAGGTTCAGACAAAAAAATATAACCAAATTTTACAACTACCTATTAGAGATAGAACTAGAGGAGGAATCCTTTTTCAATGGATTTAAGAAAACCCATGCTTAGAGGACAAGGAGGAATTTATACTAGTTACCAAGCTACTGTTATTGCGAGAATGAAATGGCTGCTCTGCATCTGGCATAAAGGCGCACACTGTTGTTTACAGATCTCAGCAGTGAAAACTAAAAACACAAGCAAACCAAGTATGCCACATCAGAAGAATGAAACATTCAGTGTTATACTTTATTTAATGAAACAGCATCTGCTAAGGGACGGGAGGCTAGCAAAGCTTTTTCCTAAGAGATTGTATTTCATTGAGCCAAAAGAAAATGTTCTTTTAAAAAAAGTGGGAAAGTTATAGTTATCCATATATGGTCAGAAAGTTAGATTTAGTGAGATGTTGTCTTCAATTTAGATCATGTGACCCATCTGAGATTTTTGAACTCTTGTCCATTGCTGCAGCTGGTGCTAATGCTTACTAGAGCCAAGTCTGAGGAAAATCCTCTCTGGTGGGACTTCCCTTGACTTTTGGCAAGCAGGATCAGCCCTATTGTTAGGCTGAAGC